TTTTTATTATTAATTACTACTATTAATTTCTTATAACTATTACTTTCAATTCATTTTTTAATTTTAAAACTATTTTTAAATTGATATAACCAAACAGATTTTTATTTTATTTTATTTTAAAAATAAGTTTAAAACTATATTATAAAATAATTTTTAAAAATAATAAATAAGAATAGAAAGCAAATAGGCCCTACAACTCAAACATTTTTATTTCACATTATTTTTCTTATAGTCTTCAAAAGAAATATTTAGATAGATTGGGTACACCACAAAATTTATAGTCTGCCTAAGTAAAATACTCCAAGTAATTTAAATAAAATCTTATGTGATATTTTTTAAATTAATTTTTTATAATAGAATGCAGATTTAATGTCTTACATTTTCTCTCTCTATTATTATTAATATCAGAATCAATTTACATGTAATACTATTTAAATATTATGTTTTTATTGGACAAATTATAAATGACAAAGTGCACCAGTCTACTTAAGTATTTCTTCAGTCTTCAATTGTCATCGTCCCAAAAAATTTAAAAATGAAAAGTTATATTATCTCTTAAATAAATATAATTAGAGAATTCGAAGGAACTTGGAAACTTTCTCTTTAAGAAAGAGGAATGATGGTGGAAAAGGGTGAAAGGCAATTTCCCACGAACCCTCCACACACACGCACAAATTAATATTTATACACTCACAAAGCAGTTCCTAGCCCTTCAAGGAACATAACAATTTAACATAAGAAAGAGAAGAGTTGTGTTGTGAGTGAAGTGCGAAGCAGAAAAATGAATAGGTCTGGGGGCCTTGAAAATGGTGATGAAGACCAATCTGGAACTGAAAGAAAGAGTAATTTTGATACTGCAACAGGTGTGGCTCTTGCTGCCGCTGCCGCTGCCGCTGCCGTCGGGATCGCCGGCGTCATCTCCTGGTTTGGTTCTTCTTCGTCCTCTAAAGATGAGTCTAGAAAAACCACGAAAGCTCCTGGTAAGAAAGGCGAGGTCATGTACAGGGACGACTTTGAAGAAGACCCTAAATCCTACTTCCAAGACTTGCGCAAAAAATAGGCATGAAACAACATGATCTTGCCTGTTGATCTCAGTTCACTATGATTAATTATATATATATATATATATGGTCTGGTCCGTTTCTGTTTTCTTATTTGAAAGTTACTTATTAATTTCTGTTTTTTTTTTTTTTCCGTTGATGTGTGTTTTCTATATGTTTACTATGAACGACGTGGTAGTGTACTGATGCACTCGTTGCTATGCCTCCTTTAGCTGCTTATGTCATGTATGCTTCATGTTTGATATTAATGTGAATAATATAATGTCAAGTTAGTATTCTGTTTACGTTGCTAGTGAATCCAATATTTTTTTTTTGGTTATTTATTTTGCTAAAAATGGAAAAAACAAATATCTAAAATTAGAGTCCTTATATTAATGTATATGAAGGTCTTGAATTTTTGCTGCAATTTCCCCATATATGCCTTCTTACAAAAAGGCGCATATAATTAATTATGCACGGAGTCTCTTGTTAATTTTTTCCCTATAAAACTTATGTAAAATGTTGCGGCTGTTGAGAAAATAAAGAAAAGATGTGCAAAAACTTACAACATGGATTTAAACTTGGTTAAATGAGTAAATTAGTCTCTAAAATTCTGGGGCTATAAAATAATCTTTTTTAATAATTTTTTTTAAAACTTATTAAAAACAGTGTAATTTGACTCTTGCCATTAGAAAAAATTAACTTTCATTGTTACTTAATTAGAAAATGACAAGAAAATGATATATAAAATTATTAAAAAAGATCCAAAAATTACTACCTATTAAAGTTAATTTTTATAAACGGCAGAATTAAATTGTACTATTTTTAAAAATTGATGGGAAATGTTTCATGAAAGATAAATTTATAATTAAGACACTCTTAGGCCTATAATTTAAAGGTCAGTTTGCTCTTTCTTAAATTGTACAATGAATATGGTATCAAAATGATCAAACTAAATAGTACATAGAAAAATTAATAATAAAATCTCTCCAAATTTTATAAATGATAATTTGGGCCTCAAAATGTCATAATTTTGCTAACATTCCTAGAGATTTATGTATCAATAAAATTTTAAAATAAAAAGATCATTTTACCTTTATTAACAAGTTGTGATTTCTTGCTCAATTTTTATGATTTCTTAAATAAAACTTGTTATTTTTTAAATAAAAATTGTGATTGGTTGATAACTTTGTTTCAATAACAGAAATTATACTGGATAAGTTGTAGTTTCTTATTCAACTCTTGTAATTTATAAAACAAAATTTATTATTTTTTTAAAAAAGTTGTGATTAGAGCTTGTTTTTTAATAATAAAAATTACATTTGATAAGTTATAATTTTTTATTAAATTCTTCTGATTCATCAAATAAAAGTTATTATTCCTTAAACAAAAATTTTGTTATTTTCATTTAAGGAAAAGATCGGAAGGAGATACCCCATTGATTCTTTTTTTTTTTTAAACAAAGCTTATAGTAGGAATAAAACATGTGAAAGATTGAAATTTGTTGATTTTATAAACTGCTTATGCAGAGAAAGAAAGTGGGGGGGGGGTGAGACAATTAATAAAGATTTAAGAAAAACGAGGGAAATAAGGAATAAAGTAGTTAAAGTAGGTGAAGTGGGAAGAAAAATCAAAAGAGAATACTTGCTAATTAAGTTACTCTAGATAATAGGTGAATCGTATAATTAATGTTCTTTTAATAATGAGGACGATGACGAAATTTGGAAAGGTGACCACTAACGAATTTATTAATGTTCATTGGGCCAATTGAGTCAAATCATTACTCAAGTTAATAAACTTTATATAATTTTATGAATCACAACTTCTGCTCATGCCTGCCTCACATTTCATAATATAACGTAATTTTTGAGTTTTTTTTATAATTTTTAAAATCTTTTTATATTATCGTAAACTAATGATTGAAGTTAAACATTTTTTAGCAATAGGAGAAATATTATACCATTTTTAATGTTGAAGAAAAACATTATATTGCACAAAAAAAAAATTAAGGTCGTAAACGCTCCAAGTCTATAATTTAAGGGCAATATTTAAGTATCAAACAAGATATACAAAAGTGATCAAATGTGAGAAATATACTCGATGACAGCACAGTGAAGACTCTCAATGGCCGTATTAACCACATAAAATCGTTCGTCAAGATTCTAAGTTAGCGGCCGAGGTCTAGATTTTCTATGATGCCTAGCTAGTAGCCCTAGCTCAGGTATTATTGCATCCTTTGATATAAACCATTTTGAAGATGGCTTCTCTTCATTCTTAGGTGACCTCTCCACGAAATTTACAACAAATGCTCAGAAAATAACATGCACTTTACCAAAGGCTGCTTGTCCAAGTGGTCGTGACTTGTTACAGCTTAACTTGAGATTTTGGATTCGAGTCTAAGGATATGCAACAACGTAACTGAGCGTGTAAAGCATGCATCACTTGAGATACCTACAAGAATCATCTCAAAGAGGGTACACTAAGCGGGGGTCCAGATTAGTTTAGAGCAAGCTGGACGGATAAAGAACCCAGCATACCTAGATGCTTCAAGATACCTAGATGCTTCAAGATACTGGGTGCGAGAGGGGAAAAATAAAAATAAAGTGCACTTTTAAATAATATCCCACCGCACCTGCAACTGCAAGTACTAGAGTCAGATCACAAGGATGTTTTCTCATGTTCAAGTATTCTGTTTTTGAACATTCTATAATAAGTAGGATAATTGTTTTTTTAAATTATTTTATTAAGGAGCAAAAATACTTTTATGTGAATTAGCAGCTAAATTTCCCATTTGGTGGTGATGGGTCATGTGTGGGCCCAGGCATTTGGGCAGTCAAATATTCTTTAAATTTTTTTGACCAGGTAGGATGGCTTAGGTGTGAAAACTCTCTTACTCTGGTTGCCTCCTCCGACATGTCTCCTGTTTTCAAATCCTTCAATTCTTCAGACCCTGAAGTAGTCTCGCGGGAGATGCCTTATCTTCCACACTCTTCCTCTTTATCTCGTGATATCTATCGGAAGGTTCAGCCTTTCAAACAGTTCAAAGTCATTGCTTTAAATAAAGATTCACAACAACATAATTTAATTAGTTTCATTCAAATCCTTGTATTGAAGAAACAAAATGGGAAAGCATAAGAAACAAAACCACCGCAAAAGCATTGAGTCAAACAAGTTGAAGGCCCCCCTTACTTACGCATTCCAAGTCTTATCTTCAGATAATGACAAAAAATTATAACAAAGGTCAAAAAAAATTATTAAAAAGGACCAAAACTTTTTAATCATTTTCTGATTTTTTTTTGGTTGAAGTTAACTGACAGTCAATATTAATTCTTATTAATGATAAGAGTTTGATTGCATTATCTTTAAAAATTAAGACAACATTTTGTCTAATAAATAAGTTTAAAATATATAATCCTATTGTATATAAAATTTAAAAGATCATTTACTTATTTACCTTTTAAATTATTAAATATTAAAATATAAATATTTTAATAAAACATTATTTAAAGAAATATATTATCTTTTAATTTTTATACTTTGTTCGTGTTTTGTTTTTAGTATTTATACTTTTTTTAATATTTTAAAACTTTATATTTTTACTTTTCATTATTTTAGACCCTTTTATTATTTTTGGAGAGATTTAAAATAATAAAAAGTAAAAATATAAAGACTTAAATATTAAAAAAAATATAAAAATTAATAGTAAAATATGAGCAAGATAAAAAAGTTATGTTTTTTTTCATTTCTATTTGCAAACTTCAATTCATTTTAATTTGAGTTGGACATTTTTTAATGCAGACAAAATATCTGACACGTCATCGAGTCCGACAAAGGAAGTCAGGCAAGAAGCATTGAAGCAGTTTCCTCGTGACCTCACTGCTGACTGTGACATCCATCCATGTCCCCAAAGCATTTTATTGTGTGTATGTATGTATACATATAATAGACACACACCGACGCACCGAACCGATAAACGCTGAAGTAGAAAAATGAATTGGTTCGAGAGCGCTAAAAACGCGAATTGGTCTGAGTGCGCTAACGATTTGTTAGAGAGAACAAAAAATGTGAACTGGTCTGAGATCACCAAAGATTTACTGGAGCGCGTCAAAAACGTGAACTGGTCTGAGAGCGTCAATAATTTGATGGAGAGCGCCAAGAATTCGAATTGGTCTGAGACCGCTAGAAATTTGGGATTGAGCGCTAAGAATTGGTTAGGAGACGAAATTGGTGCCGCGAAAGAAAGTGTTGAGATTAGGCATTTAGTTGTGGGAGGCGTACTCGTTCTTCTCGTCGTCGTTGTTATTCGGGGCCGTGGGTCTGGTGGTGCTTCTAATGGCAGAAAAATTATGAAAGCTCCTGGCGGGAAAGGCAAAACTATGTACAGGGACGTCTTTGAAGGTAACCCTAGAAGCTACTTTCGCGGTTCGCGCAACAAAAAGACTTAGAAAACAAGCAGATCCACATCAAGGTCAGGCTAGTTATTAGTTAATAAGATTGAATCGCGCTATTATTTCTTCGTTCTGGTCTGTTCTGTTTTTCTTTGAGGCTTCTCTTGATTTCTCGTTGATCTGTGGTTATGTTGATTTTGGGAAATGAAATCGTGCGCTGGCTATTGAGCTTGTTCGTTCGTTTTGCCGCTTATGTACGGGATGTATGCTTGATGGATGTTTGACAAATCGACTGGGAAAATTAATCCAAACCGATCATTTAATTGGATGTCTCTGTGAAGTTTCCCTGATTTTATTAGATCTAAACAATTTATACTATATAGTATATACCATCCTCTGACTTTAACTAGATCAAGAATAGCAAAATGGCTTTACGGAGTCGATCTGAGACTACTTCATTGTTAGTGATGAGTTTGAAGATGATCTTAAGCAAAGATAGCACGTTTGGTTCAAAGAATCCATGGGAATGTAATGGAATGGAATAAAATATAATGATGATTATTGCTATTTTGTTTGGTATGCTTTTAAGGAAAGGAAATGCAAAAAGGTAAAAATCTTTGGTCCAATTACAAAAAACATGGGAATAAGCTGTATTAATAAATCAAAAGATAAAAATACCCTTGTATATTAAAATTAATCAAAACACTCCCCAACCTTTTTGCGCTCTAGTCCCCTGTCCCCTTCAATAGTAAGACTATTTTAAATGTGTGTGTGTATATAATGCCATCTAAATATATTAAAATCAAATTATAATATTTAAACCAAATATTAATACTACTCCGTTTCTATTTGTAAGAAAAATTATCACTTTTATACTTTTTTTTATATAAAAAAAATCACATACTTTAATAAACATTTATTACAAATCTCTTAAATTGTCCCTTATAATTTACAATAATGAGAAATAATTAATGCATGTCTATATTAATTAACATAAGTCATTTTAGTCCAATTTTTTTTATTTTTAGATATAATTATTATAGTTAACTAATTTTCTTAAACTGTGTGATACAGTTTTTTTCTCTTATATATAGAAACGGAGGGAGGATATGTGTGTGCGTGTGCGTGTGAAACAAATTGCCAACAAGCACAATTTTACAGCAATAAAAATGCTACCTACCAATAGCATAAATTTATTAAATATAAAGATATTCATGAACACTGGTGCAACTTCTTCATGTAGCAACAAAAATGCTTCCTGCTGAGTTATCATGTAGAAAAGTTGTACAGCCACATCCAAGAGGTAGAGTATAGCACGTTAAAATTAAAAAAAAACATAATCAAAATATAAAATCTACTTACTTGTTCATATATATATATATATATATAATTAGAACAAGAACATCATTAATAGCAAAATATATAAACGTATTCAAATAATGGATTATCAAAAGCAGGACATATAAGTTCACCATATGACTTTACAAAAAATGTTGAGGTATTAATTAAGTATGACCTCCTAAATATTGACAAATGTAATACAAGCTCATTCTATGGCTTTATAAAAAATAATATTGAGGCAATGTCTACAATCTCTAAAATATTAATAAAAGAAAGACTTAAAATACATACTACTACACCTTTATATAAATGAAGTAGTATGTATTTTACATAGCCCATGGTCTTGCAAAGCAATCCATATAGAAGTCCTATAGAGCTAAATATATAAAGGTCTTACACATTTATTCAAGAAGGCTACACACCCAAGTCGCCATCTTGTCTTCAAGAACTAGTGTGAATGCAACTACTAGTGATGGAGACTTAGTAGTCTTTATATGAGCCTTGTTTATCTCACCTCGTGTGAGTCCTTGTACTCTCATAAGTTGCCTATATATTTCCTCTGCTTTGTCTAAATCAATAAGACCCATCCTTCTTGACTCTTTTCACATTTAAGCAAATTCCTTACATAAATTCTTTGAGAATTTCATCATTGAGTGGTCTATATGAGGAGATAAATCCTTTATAGCTTTAACAAGCACCTCTATAATATTATTATTGCTCCTTTGCTTTCATTTTATAAATGATTGCACCTCAGTTGACTGCACATGTTGTTGCTCAGATGCATCAACATTTGTATTTATGTTAAATCCTTGTTCATCATTGATCTCACATTCAATTCTATAATCCTCTTCATCATCCTCAGCATGAGATGAAGGCATCGAAGCAGTCATTCCAATTGTACTATCCTTATCCCATATATAGACTTTTTTAAGGGAGTAGGATATTTTAAGCCTGATTTGAATAAGCTTGGCACGTTCGAATTACCGACTCTAGTTAAAACCTAGAGAGTTTCCATGTAAATGGGCTTTGGATCAAAAGAACTAACTTAATAATTAAAAAATTTAAAATAAAAAGTTATGTTATCCTTTAAGTAAATATAATTTGAAGGAACTAGGAAGCTTCTTTGTCAAGAAAAAGGAATAAAGGTGGAAAAGAGTGAAAAGCAATTTCCCACAAACCTTCCACCCACACGCACACACAAACCAGTACCAAGCGCTTCAAAGAGCATAACAATTTAACATAAGAAAGAAGAGTTGTGTTGTGTTGTGAGTCAAGTGTGAAGTAGAAGAATGGATGGATCTGGGAGTCTTGAAAATGGTGGTGGAGGCAAACCTGGAGCTAAAAGAAAGAGTAATTTTAATGTTGCAATAGGTGTGGCTCTTGCCGTTGCTGCCGCCATCAGGATCGCCGATGTCATCTCCTAGTTTGGTTCTTCTTCGTCCTCTAATGATGAGTCTAGAAAAACCATGAAAGCTCCTGGTAAGAACGGCGAGGTCATGTTTCAGGGACGACTTCTAAGATGACCCTAAATCTTCTAAAATTTGCACAAAAAATAGGCATGAAACAACAAGATCTTTCCTGTTCTCAGTTAATTAAGATTAATTACATATTTATATATATTATATATATGCATGATCTGGTCCATTCTGATTTCTTATTTTAAGGTTAATTATTAATTTCTCTTTTTTCTGTTCATGTGTGTTTTATCTTTTACATATGTTTACTAGGAATGACGTGGTTGTGTACTGGTGCACTTGTTGTTATACGTCCTTTTGCTGCTTATGTTATGTATCCTTCATGTTTGATAATGTGAATAATGTAATGTTAAGTTAGTATTCTGTTTACGTTGCTAGTGAATCCAATTTTTTTAGTCATTTATAGTGGGAAAAACAAAATTTAAAATTAGAGTCCTTATATTATTTCTATGCAGATCTTGAATTTTTACTGCAATCTCCCCATATATGCCTTCTTAAAAATGAGCACATATAATTAATTATGTGCAGAGTCTCTTTTTAATTTTTTTTAATTTCCCATAAAAAAATGGGTAAAGGGAAAAAATACTCAAAAGTAATCAGCCAATGGCACTTAGTATCCTAAAGTGAGAAAAATGACATAAAAACCCATAACATTATATGAGTGAGTGCAAAAGTGACCAAACTGTTAATTTTGACCTAACATTGTTAACTTTGATTGTTAAATACTGACTGTGCATTCTATGTGTCAGTCTTTGCTAACGTGAACTAATAAAGGGTCAAAAATACCCACGAAGTCGTCGAACAGGAGCAAAAATACTCATAATATTACCAAAGTTAGTGCAAATATGATCAATCGATCAAATCCCTCAAATGTTGACCGTTCAGCTGATATTTAAGTAGAAGTTGACCATTTTACCCCTGATGTAGACAAAAAAATTCCTAAATGAATTTTTACAGAGGTTGATTAATTATTGTATAAGTACCCATAATGTTATTTTAGTAGGTGCAATAATAACCAATCCATCAAAATCCATGCCACATGGTTTTTTTTCCACCACCATGTATCCCACCTCTTCCCTTCCTCCCTCTGCACTCATTTTTCTTGTCTACAAAATCTGAGATTCAACATAGTAAGATAAGTTGTATATAATCAAAGATCAAGACCAAGCACACCCCCTACGTTATTTTGTCTTAAGAACATTGTCACAACCTTAAGCAATTTCATTTATGATAGGTTCAAAATTTTCAAATGTTTTTGCCATTGTTGTAAAGAAATGAGAGATTTAATTTGATATTTAATCAAAACGACATTTTTTCAAATGATATTTATACAATGATTGATTAATCTCTAGAGAATTTTATCTAGGAATATTTTTTTACATCAACAAAAAATGGTCAACTTTTATTTAGGTGTCAATTAAACGGTCAACATTTTAAGAAATTTGATGAATTGGTCACTTTTGCACAAACTCTGGTAAAGTTATGGTTATTTTTACTCCTAGCTGATGACTTTATGGATATTTTTACCCCCTTATTAGTCCACATCAGTAAAGATTGACACATAACATGCACAATTAGCATTTAATGAGCAAAGTTAATGGCGTTAGGTCAAAGTTAATAGTTTGATCACTTTTACATTCACTCATATAATGTTATGGGCATTTATGCCTTGTTTTTCATTTTAGGATACTTGATGCCCCTGGCTAACCATTTTATAGGTATTTTTGCCCCTTTATCCTAAATTTTTTTTGTAAAATGTTGTGGTTGTTGAGAGCATAAAGAAAAAAATGTGCGAAAAGTGAAAAGTTGCAACCGAGACTCAAATTTGGATAAATAAGCAAATTAACCTCTAAAAGTTTGAGACACTAAAATTAGGGAGAGGGCTCTATCCCTTTCTTTTTTCTCCTTTTCCCAATCTCCACTATTAATTTTATTTAATTTAATTTATTTTAATTACAAATTTGATGAAGGGTGAGGATTGAGAAAAGGAGGGAAAATGAGAGAAAAGAAAGAGAGACCCTCTGCTGCTACAGTCATCTTTTATATAATATTTCTCTTCAACTTTTTAGCATAATTTGACCATTGCTATTAATAAAAACTAATTTTGACTGTTAGTTTATCAAAGAACAACAAAAAATATTCACAAAAATAATAAAAGAAGACCCAAAAATTACTGACAAGGATTTAAAAAATGACATAAATTTACCAAGAAAATCAACTTTTTATTAATTATTCGGGTCATTTTTGATCATTTTTTAATCAAG